TATGTCGTTTCAACCAACGCTGAGTTCCTGATCCGTAACGGTTCTACCTGCAGCCCGAGCTTCTCTTCATTACAGCATAATGCAAAAGCTAATGATTACGAAATGAAAACAACTGACACCGAGGTGTGGATATAGAAATCCTCTCGGTCCCTTCTCTCCTCCCTTTTTCCTCGTGTTTCTTTATTTTACTCTTTCCCTTTCTGGTGAACCGTCCGCGCACCCGTCCCACGCTCAGCCAATCAGCCCCTCATAAACTACAATCACGACACGTGATTCCAATGTTCACTCATCGCTCTCACTGGATGAAAACCAGGGGAACACGCCACGTGACGATAAAACATCGAAATGCCTGGTTATTTATTATCACATCTATTCATGACCGGATTTCTAGTCCATTGTGAGTGTTTTAACATTTTTCTTTTGAGGGGTAATTGTTAATTGATAGGTTTAGCGCGACGAATTGCAATATTTTTCGAATTTTGTCTCATAAGAGAGGAAAAACACGAAATACGATTATTCCTGTACATAAAACAATGATTCTAAAAATATTGACATTCGCAATCGCGTGAGGAAAAGGTCTGGTGGCTTGTCATGGCAGGTAATCTACATCCCAGGTAAGAATTGACGATAGAAACAGGGCTCATCAAGCCCTGGACCAAGGCTCGGAAATGCTCAATCAGGGCTGGGGCTCAGCCTTGGATCAATCCTCCTTCAGCCCTAAAATGATAACCTCGTTTCAGGCTTAGTCCGCAAGGCTTGAACGAGGCTCGGTGCCAAGGCTTGATTCAAGCCTTGAATTACCACATTTTAAAGGCTCAATCGAGCTTCGGCTAAATAAACTGGAGTATTGTTTACAGATATTTGTATAAACAATTTCTTATTGCTTCATAACCCTTTTTATGAATTTAGAGTAACCTATGAAAGAGAGTGCGGTCGGACCGTACATCACTGTTGCTAAGTGTTGTTGGTGATTGTGATTGTCGGTTAATTAATAATGCATGGGAAAAAAGTTATTATCATTATTAGTTTCTATTAATTATTCGTCCTGGATTATTACTGTGCACTTGGAAATTGAAATACAATGAAATCAAACATTTAAAAATTTGCTCCTCCGGGGTCCTTCTGATCCGTAGACAAGCGCGCTATCCACTGGGCTACCTGCGACTTCTTAGGATGATACATTTTTTTCGGGTATAAAAATTCAATTTGTATTAGTGTTATTTTGTTATTTTGTTGATATCCTGATTAAACTTCGTGAACTTGAATAAATGATAGGTCCGATGGATTTATGAGTTCAGAATCGATTGGTTAATTAATTATAGAGGATAATAATAATTATGTAGCCTCGTGCACAAAGGGCTGCTCTAGGCCTGGTCTGGGGGTAGCTTAGATAACTTGGCGGAAAATTATAGCTATGTTTGTAGATGATGATAATGTTTTCACCACTATTAGCTAATGAGTATTGATATAAAAATTGAGGAAATTTATCGAAAGTAACTTTAATTGTCGAGGCCTTGCTGAGCCCTGAATAAGCCTTGATGTACTGAGCCTAAATACTGAAAGCCTGGACTAGGCCTGAATTGAGCCTCGCCAATGGCCCCTTTAATCATCCTCATTTGAAGCTCAAGTGAACAATGAAACCAAGCCTATCCCAGGCCTGAATAACTGAGCCTCGCCAACCCTGGGCTCATACAGGCTTGTTCTCATCGTCAGCCTATGTAATTTTTACCTGGGATATAGATTTGAAAAGCTAAGCAGCGTGGAGCGCGGTTAGGTACTACTTGGAATGGTGACCGCGGGAAAACATTTGTGGAAAAAAATTGGGTGAAATGAATTTGTGGCGAGGGAAACACCCGTAAAAACAAAAAGGGAAGATTTTTAAAAACCAAGAAAATGTATTCATTATCTTGAGCAATTTGTAGGCTGCCAAATTTCCGCTTCCAAATCCTACTCATGAACCCTTTTTGCCAGAGAAGGTTCCCTAATATTGGCAGAGCAATTTCTTGGATGAAAAAATATGTTTTATTTCTTTGCCATGAAAACGGGTCTAAGGGCCAACCATTGCTACTTAGATTTGCTTAGATTTTGCTCTACTTAAATTTGCTCGCCTTCGGCTCGGAAGACAATCTTGCACGTGGGGGAATGATCTCTTTTCGAAGGCTCGGGCATGAAATATACTATTTCAGGTTCCGCGACACAAAAAAATATATTCTCAAAAGGCTGAGAAATGTCCGTTTCTAAACTTTTGAATTTGAAAAATAACTTTCAGGGGTGAAAAACGAATTTTTCTTTTCAAAAAAACATAACTTGAAAATATTCCATTTGAACACTAGGCCGTGAGGAATTTTTATTGAAGGCGAGTTCTGTAATCATATGCGGTAGAAAAGTTGGCAGTGTCTATTCACACGGTCCACGGTAAATTTTACAGTGGATACAGGGGATATTTTACCGTGGATATACGGTAATTTCTACCGTGGATATAAAATGAGCAGTGGGGTGCGTTGGGCCGATTTTTACCGTAGATATCCCACCTAGGAAAAATCGAACGGGCCGAGCTTGTTCGAAGCCCGGTGCCCGGGCTGCCGAACTTCGGGGTCCGGTCCTCAACCGGGACCCCGCCGGACTTGGTTAAAACCTGGGATGATAACATCGGGCCAGGTCTGGACGCCGATCTCGACCCAACGTTGGTTGCCAGTCGTTGGCCAGGTTCAATTTAACATTACTGAATTACATGAATATAATATGGGTGATTGAAATACAAGTAATTCAATATTACTCTTCAGCATTCGTAACAGGTTCAACGAGGAAAAAAATCTATACTGGCTTGCGACTGGCGCCGCCCACGTACGAAATGCCAGTGTTGTAGAAACGGGCCAAGCCTGGCACAAGCCTGGGCTTGCCAAGTCTGGGCGCCCAGGCTTGGACCGAGGTTCGGCCATCCCTGGGGACCAGGGCTTGAGTCTCGGGAGAAGGGCGGGTAACCGAGCCTTGGTTGACAGATCTGGCCCTGCCTTGGCCGGACATTGGCATGCCGGACCTCGATAACCAAGCCTCAGCCAGCGGTGGCCCGGAGCTTGGTCATTGAGCTCCAGCCGTTGGTATAACTGTAAGGGTTAAGCCGTAAGGGTGAGATGATGAGAATGGAATCATAGGGGTGGAATCATAAGGGTAAAATCTGAAGAGTAAAATTGTAAGGGTCAAATCGCAATAATGGAAAGGGGCGAAAAAATTATAAGGCTGACATTCTGAGGGTTGAATGTTAAGGGTGGAAACTTGAGGGTAAAATGTTAAGGGTGTAATCGTAAAAAAATG